TATGAGGAGCCTGCTGGATCAGGTTAATGGCCCATCTCATCCAGCATCCTGTCCTCACAGTGGTCAACCAGATGCCCTTGGGAAACCCTCAATCAGGACCTGAGCATAGGAACACTCTCCCCTGCTGTGGTTTCCAGCAACTAGTACTGAGATGCATTACTGCCTTTGACCATGGAGGCAGAGCATAACCATCATAGCTAGTAGCCTTTGATAGACCTCTCCTCCATGTATGGAGGAGAGGGCTATTGAACCCTCATCATGTTTGCCTTCATTCCAAACAAAAATGACACTCCTGCTCTTTAATGGAGGTGAATATGCCATAATATCCTTCTTGGGAGGAGACATGAGTTGGTCTCACTCTTATGCTCTTACATTCCATACTCCCAGAGCATCGTTACTTGGTGTCCTTTACAAACAATGACACGTCTAAAATCCCTCATTACACTTTTCAGTGATTATGCTGTAGTGGAGGTGGGAATGGATAGGAAGACACCCAAAATCAGTATAGCTCTCCTACCATAGCAACCCAAAAGGGAGGCTAGCCTTGGCATTTAAACATTATTATGCTGAAGAGCATGAGACCCTTAATTTGAGGAACATGGGTTCAAGCCCCACGTTGGACAAAAGATTCCTGCATTGCAGGAGGTTGGACTAGATGACTCTTGTGGTCCCTTCCAACTCTATGCTTCTATGCCATTTAACACAGCAAGCTAAATGCAGTGCAGCCCAGAATGATGAGAAGGAAAGGGCAGACAGAGTCCACCATTATTCCTCGCTTTGGGATGACTCTAGAACATTTCTTGACTCAAGTTACCACCTGTCTGTTTCTGACACTTGCATCAAGGAGGATAAGGACATTAGAAGAGACCTGATCCATTTAGTCCAACATCTGGTTTTTCCCTGAAGTGAAATGACAGCAAAGTTTTGTTTTGGGCACTTGAGAAAGCTATTTCTCAGAAAATTTAGTTCTGAAAAAATGTAGATCCTCTCTAGAATATCTGGATCCTGTCACAAGCATGGTTTTCCTATGGTTCTAAGTATCTTTAGACAATGTTCCAAGCATACTTGTGGCAACTAGAGACACTGGAAGCCATATGAATTAAATTTCCCAAATCTCCTAATGTATCTGGATGCATATCAAGAATCTGAAGCAATATCTGGAGTGCCACTGCAGTGCCTGATGTGAATCTTTGCCACAACCCCACCACCTCAATTTGTTAGTCCAAAAACTGATAAGTGATTGAAGACAGGAAAAGATTGCCCTGTGTTGAATCTACTGCCTCTTGCAATTGCTTCACACTATTTCATGTTAAGGCTGGTCCTGCTGATCCTATTGTGTGAAAAAGATGATTCTCTATATCTCACCACTGTATATTCAGCTGGTGAGGTTCATCTTCCTTCCGCTTGGCAGAGAGCCCTGGCACTCTGTCACCCATTCTGAAGAGCAACCCTTGACTCAGTGCCAGGGGAAGCAGTGACTGCATTGATTTTAATTCACTGAACTTTATTGCTGCATTTAACAATGAAGTGATTTTTTAAAAAATACAATCAACCCATGAATCAAGTTGGGAAGAGACTTATTTCTCCACAGCTTGCCTGCATCCTTCTGAAAGGTTTTGTCAAGGCAGGAGTCGGGAGCTGCTCAGCAATAATTCACAAGGTGTCAGTGAAGTCAACTCTTCAAAGAAGCAAAACACTTCAGGCCTAGTGAGCACAGCAACTCTTCTCAGTAGGCCTTGCTCCAATGAGGCAGTTGCAAGGACTGACGTTCCCCAGCTTCCCACAGCTCTCTAAGTCTCCTCCTCCCCCAGTTCCTTCCTAAGTGACCTGAGACTCAGATGCCTTGTCTGTTTCTGCTCCACCCTCTTCATAGCTCTGCAGGTTCTGAAAGACCAGTGGGGAGGGGAGATGCTCACAGCAGGAGGGGGAAACCCCCTGGCTTCTTCAGCAGCCTGCCTCATCTCTGGCTATTGGCACCCCTCATCTCCAGCCTCTGCTTCTGCCTCTGGTTCTGGACTGCTCTCCAGGATGGACTCTTCCCGCTCACTAAACCCTGTTACCTCTTCGACTTCTGACACCTCCTCCTCCCAGTCTGCTCCCTCTTCTCCCTCTGATCACCAGTTCCCTGGCTCTGAGCCTCTTCCCTTGGGGGTTCCCTTAAGGGTTCCCCAGCTGGTGCCTCCCACCACTTCACTGCACCCAGCCAGTCCATGACAGGTTTCTTTTAATGTCTATGGAAAGATTGAATCGTGATAAAGTTGCCATGTTCCACTGAATGGTACCCATGCTTTCTTGGCACTCCAGCTTCCCTGTATCCTGTGCCATTGGGGGGGGTGAGTGAGTTCTGAGTCTAACAGAAAGTCCCCTTCCATTTGCCCATCCCTCCCTATAGACCATCACTGCTTGCCACCAGGTGAAAGTATTTATTTCATCACTTTCAATAAACAGCCTAAAATCCCCTTGTGTCTCCTCTTGAACATTTAAAAGTAGCATAGAACTTTGATTAGGCATGGGGTAGTTTCACAAAAGTTTCATGAAACAAGATTAAAAGTTTACTAAAAAGCCCCCCCCCAGGTGGTTCTTGGGGAAAATGTTTAATACAGTGGTACCTCAGGTTACATACACTTCAGGTTACATACACTTCAGGTTACAGACTCCGCTAACCCAGAAATATTACCTCGGGTTAAGAACTTTGCTTCAGGATGAGAACAAAAATTGTGCTCTGGCGGCGTGGCAGCAGCGGGAGGCCCCATTAGCTAAAGTGGTGCTTCAGGTTAAGAACAGTTTCAGGTTAAGTACGGACCTCTGGAACGAATTAAGTACTTAACCCGAGGTACCACTGTATAAAAAGGTAAAGGTACCCCTGCCCGTACGGGCCAGTCGTGACCGGCTCTAGGGTTGCGCGCTCATCTCGCTTAAGAGGCCTGGAGCCGGCGCCGTCTGAAGAGACTTCCGGGTCAAGTGGCCAGCGTGACGAAGCTGCAGCTGGCGAGCCAGCACCAGCGCCGCACACAGAAACGCCGTTTACCTTCCCGCTAGAAAGCGGTACCTATTTATCTACTTGCACTTAGGGGTGCTTTCGAACTGCTAGGTGGGCAGGAGCTGGAACCGAACGATGGGAGCTCACGCCGCCGCAGGGATTCGAACCACCGACCTTACGATCAGCAAGTCCTAGGCACTGAGGTTTTACCCACAGCGCCACCCGCGTCCCTACCACTGTATAGGAATAATTAAATTAAGGAAATCAGGTTCTATTCCAGCCACCACTTCCTATAGCACTGGGAAAATAACATTTCCCAGGGCTCCTCAAGTCTGGCATGCAACTGCAACAGTATCAGAGGGGGGAAATCTCCCTCTCTTTCCCTGCTGCCAGAGCAGCAAGCAAGGTAAATAGTGGGCAAGAAGCAGGGAGGGTCAAGTATTGTTCGGTTACTGCGGGTGGAAGGGAGAGGAGTCAGACTATGTTGCATTCCTGATATTATTGGGGTCACAGCAAGGTTTGATTGGCAATCAGAATAAGCCAAACTATTTTCGGAGGTTATGGAAAATACTTTCCCTTTTTTTCTGAACTAGGAGCATTCTCCCCATCTTCCTGGTCCAAGGATTCCCAGTGCACATGGTCAGCTGATCCTGGCAGGATTGTACATCTCCCAGACCAATCCTCATTCTCCAGGATCAATCCTTTACAGTCAGGCATTCCAGATCTCTAGTTCTCTCACAGGTCTGGATCATCTCTGTCCTGCCATTCTGGTTTTCTCTGCTAGAGCCCTAAGGCTGCAGCAGAGCTGTTTCTGCAAGCCACACGCAAGGCAGCAAAGCTAAGCACCTCTCTGCTTTATGGGTGACAGACGCACCAGAGACTTTGCAAGGGGAAGGGAATAAATAATCTCGGAGTGACAGAGGTTTTAACAGCAAAACCACACCAGGAATGGAGTATATAATGAGTGCCAGTCTGAGCAAATAATTTCCAAGCACCTGGAGCCACACCGCCTTCCAGGGATGCTTTTTTTATTTATAGATTTAACTCCTGGCTTGTGAATTGATTTTATCCATCACTTAACAACAAATCTGGCATGGCCAAAATACAAGAAGTTTTATGTCCCTGCCTGCCTGCCTTCTGGCTATGTAAGCGAATGGGTACAAGGGTCTAATTGAGCTTAGTAATTTGACCCTGTCTTGCAGTCCCCTCTCCCTCCCGCAACTCTGCCCCAGTTCCTTGCTAGGGCAACAAAAGTGTGTTTATGCTCAATACACCAGCACCGACTGAAGAAATTGATGTCATGCACCCTGGGGCAGAAATTCACATGCATTGGTACAGGTGATGATCCCTGTTTATTTCAGAAGCAGGTCAATGTGCACAAAGCAAAGGATTTTGTGTCTCCCCCACCCACTGCCATATCAAAGGGAAAGGGAAGCCATTGCTGATGGGTGTCATGACCCCAGGGTTAGAATCCCCACTTTTTCTGGGGGGATGAGTTCAGAAATTCCAAGGAGGAAGATCCCAATCCGCCAGTGTCCATAGAACTCCAGGAGCCGATGTCTCCCCACTCCTTCCCAACAACCCATAGAGGTTGTGCTACTCTCATCCTCATAGTCTGAAGTCTCCATCCTGGAAGCCACAACAGAGCCACACCTATGTCACTGGAGTCAATCCTTGCACAACTGGCAATCCTCTTTTAAGCTTTTCCCAGCTGGGGCGGAGCTAATAAGCCAGACTGAGTTGCAACCTTGTTCAAGCCTCGAGAAACTCTAGACTGCTGTTGAAGCCACGCTTGAGCCTGCAGAGTTGTCCCAGAGTTTCACATGGAGCTGTCCAAAGTTATGTCTGGACCTGAACTTGTGCTTAGAGCTGAACTCTGGTAGGAATCCCTCCTTCAGCTTGAAACATCATATGGAATATCACAATGTGAGGGTAGGAGATCCATGTGGTGTGGTTCTATAGTGTCTTAGGAAACAGGTCCTCCCATATGACTCCATGTGCATCTGAGCCTCAGATGTTTGGGAAAGAGTCATAGCTCACTGGTAGAGGATCTGCTTTGCATGCAGAAGGTCCCAGGTTCAATCCCTGCCTTCTCCATGTAGGGCTTTGAAATACTTCCTGCCTCAAATGTTGGAGAGATTCTGCCAGTCAGTGTAATCAGTACTAAGCAAGATGGATCATTATTCTGACATAGGATAAGGTAGCTTCCTATGCTTGTAAATTACTTTTGAAAGGTCTATCAGTATCATAAATGTGACCATCATAGTTTGTATTCGAATAAAAGGGCTAATGGGGAAGGAAAGGCTCTTGCAAATCTGAATACCAGATTATATTCGAAGTTCTGCTCTTCGGCTCTCAGGAAAGAAATGCACAGTCCAATAAGCGAATGAATGGTGAAATCTAAAGTCCCAGGATGATGATGCATTGAAACTCTAAGCTGGCAAAATAGTTGAGGCTTCTGTCTAGCTGAGCTAATGGGTTAAGTGGGAGACAACAAGAGATAAGGTTGGTTAATTGCTAATTACCTCCATTGTATGAGAAATCCATTTTTAAGAGGCATTTCATAGCTTGCATAATGAAGGTGAAAAAATTCAATAGGGAGAATGAGGCAGAACATGGGTGATGAGAAGCATTTAACAGGAGATCACACTTTGATTAAGGAGTAGCTGACAATTACTTATGAGAATCTGAAGTCAGAGTGACTGAGTGAATGAACAAAATAAAGAATATGCAAAAACACTCATTGGGCCAAAACAGCAGTTCACCCCTCTCTTACTCCAGTATCAGATGCCAATGATGGAACGCCCAGACATTAAATGATGGATTGATGTACATCCATCACTCTTAAGTTTTAAAATTCTAACATCTAGGGAGTCCCATGAATTTGTCCTTGTAGCCGATTTTATATGTGGTGGGGTTGGTTCAATAGATTTTTGGAGTTGCATGGCCCTGCCGCCATTCTTATATTTACGGCAGCTAAGCCCCACCTCACAGAAGATGTAGTGCAGTGGAAGGGGAAAAGCTCTGCCCTCTGGGTCTAAATAGCCCTATCAGCCTTCCTAGCTGGCCCATAAGGCTGTTTCAGACAAGCTATGATTACCTGCCCCAATACCTGGTATAGACTTGGTTCCCTGTGTAAAGTGAGATTTAGAGACACCAGTGATCAGTAAATCAGCTGGGCTTGCCAAGGCACAGGGGCATTTATGATTTCAAAAAGCATAGGCAAAGGAAAACATGGCATCTGATGCCAGCGAGATCTTAGATAACTGGCAGGTGGATGATCCCATTGACCTGTCAAACTGGACCACAGGGATTGGGGAACATAAGCATTTGTGCCACCCTCTGGAAACTGTTGCTCACCCAAATGTCATTCCAAGCAATTTAATTTTGATCACAAACTTAGACAATTTTAATATGGGATTATAGAAATTCAAAGAGGATAAGGCAACCCATGGCTACTCTCGGAAATAGTATGCCTCTTGAATACCAGTTACTGGAAATTCCAAGTAGGGAGATGTTGTTGTGGGCTTCCCAATGGGGCCTCTGACTGGCCAGTGTGAGAACAGGATGATGGACTAGATGTGGCCTTGGCTTGATACAACAGACTAGTTCTTATTCTGTGCTTATTCACTTCCTTTTGTAGTCTTAGCTTCATATGTGTGCACTGCCTTTGAGATTACATCTGATGTGAGTAAAGAAATCCAAGATTTCAGATCAGAACACTAACTTGAATATTGTCACATTAATATGTGTTTGCAGCCTGAGGGAGTGCAATGCAGCTGTGAAGAAAGTGCACCATTCTTAAAATATCCAGGATCTTAGCAATCTGAAAATCAGAACAGACCCCAGTCAAGTACAGATCCTGAGGCCCTTGTTTATTTTCTTACATATTCTAAGAGGTTACCCCAGTACTGGGCTGAAGCATCAGAATCTATTGAATGCCTCCTTACCAGTTGTATTAAGATCCAAGTTATTGGCTAATTAAACCACAGACAGCTCCAACAACAGTTGGCTCCAATTGTTAGTGATGTTGTAACAAACAGAAGGGCCAGACATGACATATGGTGCTTGCTCAGGATTAAAGAGCATCACCTATTTTATTTCCAACCTGTGATGATTCCTTCTTTACGGTTCAGAGGCACACTTGGTTAAATGACAAGAAAGAGGCCTAGCAAAGCTCGCCGGTACCTATTTCAAAGGCAGCACACTTGCAAGTTCATGCCGATAAGTATAGGTCAGGTTGCTATGGCTTTTTCAGAAGGACAAACTAATATGAATGGAAATGTAGGGCAAGAAGGCAGGGCAGGGTTTGGGAAGCAGGGCAAAGGGATGATGAATCAGGAAATCAATAACAGGAAATGATGGGACATGGTTCCTTCTGTGAAAATCAAAGGGAAGCATCTCTGCATCCTACAAAACCTCTCAAATATACTTGGGAGATCTGGGTTCCAGTTAAGATGAATGATTCATGCAGTTAGAGTTATTGCATTGCATCTTTTTGTTTTAGTTCTGGTACCTCCTCAGAAGCAGTTCCCACTTTACATTTTGCAGTGTGGAGAGAAACCCATCAAACACATACTGTACAGTAGGCCATTCACAGATTATGGCACCACAAGAGAGGATTCAATTTGCACTAGTAAAATGTCAGAGTAGGGGGCAAAGGAGGCCAAATCTATTGCAGAGAATGTGGTTTGGAAGCAATACCAGAGTCATTCCCCTGTTCTTATAATATATTCAGGGATATTGAATGAATCTGAATGAATTCAAAAGAGGGGACAAGATCTATGCATGTTCAGCTGAACGTCTGCCTGGGGCCTACATATACAGAAAAGGGGAAATCTGGAAAAGCAGAGGTCCCGGTCACTGGGAGAGTACTGTGCATAGGTATACTCCATTCAGACATACAACTGTACATGCATAGGTTCTCCCTATTACCATCATGCGTGTTCACTCATCCTGAATATGTCATTAGGATCAAGCTGGTAACTTCTCCATATACATAGCTCCACCCTTCTCCTCAGAGCTCTATCTAACCTTTGGTCACACCTGGGGGAACTATGCCCTTCCAGAGATGCTCCTGGACTGTAACTCTCACTATGCTTGACAATTGGCCATGGTTGCTGGGACGGATGAGAGTTGAAGTCCAACGGGTTCCCCTAGGTTCCCCATCAATATGCTACAGTGATAATAACAACACTATATCCCCCAAACTTGTTATGAGCCCTGTAGATATTTCTTGGCACAACTGGTCAGACCTGGGGGAAGAATGAGATTAGAGTGCTGAGCTCAGTGATGGAGATGAGCTGAGTAGCCTATCAGAAGGCACCTCTAGAGATCACTGCTGGATGATCTGGCAAAGGAGGGAGAGGCTGCCCCACATCCTGCTACCATGACCTGCCCAGCAAATGGGGAGTTGCCCGAGCCTGGACTGGAAACTGAAACAGCCAGGCAGACCCTGTGTCAGATGTGCCATCATCTGTGTCAGCATGACCAGACCTAGCCAGTTCACAGCAGTGCTTGCTTGCTTACACAGTCTTATTGCTTGGGATCCAGAAAATGTGAATGTAGAGCAAAGGGGACATGTAAGGTGCTGAAACACCATCTTAGGTTGCACCAAGCCATGTACTTCAGAGCTTTGTGCTGAACACCTGAACTGTGTCATCTGTAACTTGATCTATGTTTCAGCTGCATAGTGATTTTTTGGAATAAAGCCTTGTGGAATCACAGAACTGAGAGTCCAAGGATCATGTCCATGCTAGCGCAACACCCTTAAGTTGTCACAAGTTGCAAGCCTAAATATGTGGATTTGGAGGCTGAGGCATGGAATACGTGACCAAATAAAATGGTGGGTAAACAAAATGTCTTGCAAACTTTGAAGCCTAGTTCACAAATCCTTGGTTCATTAGGGAAATAAGCTGTTATCTCTTCTTCCTTGTGTGCCTTCCAAGGTCACTCCATGGAGCTGTCAAGCATGCAGGCACTGGAGTGATTGGACTTGACGTGCCAATTTTCTCCTTCCAGGCCAGAGGCCAAGTGCTGCAGTCAAACATCTGCCCCTGGTGGTATCAGGAGGCTAGACAAGGAATGGATGCTCGGACCACAGTGGTGGCCACAATACCTCAGGCTCAATGAATGCCAAGATAATGAATTGAAAATGCTGCAAAGCCAGGAGCTTGGTACCAGCAAAGGCCCTTGTCTCCCAGGAAGCTTAGTACAAGGTGGGGAGGGGGATCAAAACAACATTGAAGCATTTCATTTAAAACCAGACTGTCAGGCTAACAGAGACCACCAATGACAAGGAAACTCAGCTTTTTCTCTCTCTATCACCCGACCTCTTTAAGCTCCAGGAACTGCTGCAAGCAAAGCTAAATTTATTGTTAAACTATTTACATCCACTGCCGATTAATTTGCACAGAGCTTTTGTCATGAGGGACCTCATGCAAATGAGCAAATCACTAACAGCAATGCATTCATTAAGGATGGCACGCTGCAAAGTTATTATTTTTCACCATGGATATTTCAAAGTTGCATGGCTCCCAAGTCACACTTTCTAAAAACCCTTCAGAAACCGGAAAGCTGGACGCATCCAATTATCCAACATCATCTGATAATCCAGGGAGTTCTTCTATTCTTTTTAAAGTGACTTTCGACCACATCACATCAAGTCAGTGATGCTGAACATGATATCTACAAGGGGGGGGGGAGACCCCCTCCATTTTCCAGATTTAAAAGTTCTCTTTCACTAGTTCAAAATGAAATATATATATATATATATATATATATATATATATATATATATACACACTATTCTTTACACAGCACCACCCATGTGCAGATATACCAGGCATAGGCAGGAAGGAAGCTGGGAGAGAGTGTGTGTCAGCAATATGGCAAGAAATTTGATTCAGCTGGTGTGTGTAGTGGTTAGAGTGTCAGACTAGGACCTAAGAGACCAGGGTTCAAATCCCCTTTCATCCATGAAACTCACTGTGGGACTTTGGGCCAGTCACTGTCTGCCAGCCTAAACTACCTCACAGGCTTGTTGTGGGGTTTAAATCAGGAGGAGATGTTCTGCCACTTACAATCAAAGGATTTTT